GTCCAGTTACTTCCAGTTATTTTCACAAGTTTATGATCACCAAATAGAACTTATGGATGATATTACCCTGCTACCACCACTTTGTCTCTTAGCAATGGGAAATGCTGCACTTTTAGAGGCCTAAGAGTAAGTCCCATGCAGAATTTAAACAGTGTTATTTGGAAAGATACCCTATTCAATATACTAAAGGTATCTGAAGTTGTCAGCAACTAATTTGCTGAACTATTTATGATACAAATCTTTTTAAAACAGGAGAAACTTCCATGGTGTTCTTTTTTGCATTTATATTCATCATGGATATGCCTCAAGCGACTTCTGAATTTGAGCTACTTTTGAAAGGTCAGCTCTAAGGAACTGTCTCAAACTGAAGCATTTGTAAAAGAGGCTTCCTCCAAAACCTGACAAAGTCTAAAGTTGTAATATGTACAAGCCAGATGGCTTTCACCCAGGATTATACACAAACTCAAATTCATTGCATTATTAACTGTGGTAAGAAATCTATCACTCAAATGAACCTAAGTATCAAAGGAAAAGGTAAAAAATGAGAGCCATGATATTTAACAACCGTTAGACTTTAACAACAGGAGAACAGTAAGACCGAGTCTTTCAGAGCTGACAAACTGATTAAAAACAGAATTAATAGACACAAATAAATCCAATCTACTGGGGAAGGTGCAACCTCTATTTGCATAATTCATGCCTTTCGATGTATTATTTGAGAAGTGAATGACAATACAGATGAGGATTTGCCAACCTACGGAGTGCCAAAAAGTCTTCAACAAGATCCTTTGTCCATCCAGAAAATTACAACAGCTCTCTTGACGCATAAGAGCCTGTTATGCCACAGGTACTTATATACATGAGCCAATACATTTCCAAGCAACAGCTCTCCACTCCAGTGAAGTTAACAAGGAGTTTACTAATTGTCAGCTAAAGTACTTGCAGCAACGAGTACCAGAATGGTGGGAAATACTGAGGAAAGGGAAGAGAACCATAAAGATTGTCATAAAGAACAGCATATAAACCAAAATTAATTGAACTGAAAGGGCCTAATAACACTCTGTTTAGTCTAGCCACCAAGCCAGCCCACTGACACTGGCTCGCTCTCTGTTTTGCCAGGGGACTCCATTGGCAGTTACAGGGCATGGGGCCAAACCCTCAGGGCTTGACTGCTACCAGTAGGAACACGAAGAAGTTGTTTTTCTGCCTTTAAGTTGTTTCCCCTCACTGTCCTTCTAAGGAAGCCACAGTTAGACTGCCAAGTTAATTCCAGCATATCCATACAGGGACTCTGTTGAGGTTGATCTCTAACTGGGAAACAAGATTCCCACGGTTCCATATTTAGCTGTGCCAGTCCAGGCACTGCACTGCTTAGCAGAGGTTAATGGACGAGAAAAGGTGTGTAAGAAGTTTCGGAGCCAGTCTGAGGTTCTGGTTTCTCAATCAGCTTCAGCTAGCGTGAGAGTGTGTCTGCTTACCCCTCATCTCCTCTCTACACGTTCCCGCCATGTCCCCATAAGCAGAGGATCAGGGACTTAGCTGGAACTGAGCTGATCATGAAGCCACATGCTGGTAGGCATGCAGAGGAGAAGCTGTAAGGATAGTTAATTCCATGATCATTATGTGCTAGGGTGCAATAAACTGGTGCAGGCATACAGAGGCTTTTGGAAAGACAGGAACAAAGGAACATTTAGTCTCCCAAAGTATTACTGTACTCAAGCCCTGCACTTCATTAGCACCTTCTTCATACACCACACTCGCAACCTTGGTATCTGACTGGTGAGCTGACCCTGGCTGGACACCAGGTGCCCACCAAAGCTGCTCTATCACTCCCTCCTCAACCAGACAGAGGAGAGAAAACACAATATAAGGCTCGTGGGTCAAGATAAGGACAGAGAGATCACTCACCAATTATCCTCACAGGCAAAACAGACTCAACTTGGGGAAAATTAATTTAATTTATTACCAATCAAATCAGAATAGGATAATGAGAAATAAAACCTAAACCTTAAAATACCTTCCCCCCACCCATCCCTTCTTCCCAAGCTTAACTTTACTCCCAAATTGTCTACCTCCTCCCCACCAGCAGCACAGGGGGATGGGGAATGGGGGCTGTGGTCAGTTCATCACATGTTTCTGCCGCTCCTTCCTCCTCAAGGGGAAGACTCTTCCCACTCTTCCCCTGCTCCAGCATGGGATACCTCCCATTGAAGACAGTCCTCCACAAACTTAGGCAACGTGAGTCCTTCCCATGGGCTGCAGTTCTTCATGAACTGCTCCAGCGTGGGTCCCTTCCATGGGGTGCAGTCCTTCAGGAACAGACTGTTCCAGCATGGTCCCCCATAGGGTCACAAGTTCTGCCAGCAAACCTGCTCCAGCGTGGGCTCCTCTCCCCATGGGTCCACAGGTCCTGCCAGGTGCCTGCTCCAGCACAGGCTTCCCACAGGGTCACAGCCTCCTTCAGGCGCATCACCTGCTCCAGTGTGGGGTCTTCCACAGGCTGGAGGG